GATTAATCAATCATTCAAATAAATTACCAGGGAGAGAATTAAATTTAATTTGATTCATTTTAACAATTGTGTTTCAAGAGAACATGTAATTAACCGTAAACATTTAATAGTTCAAATAAATTACTAGAGAGAGTATGAAGCTTAATTAAATTTGCTTTAATAATAGTGTTTAATAATATTGATTAACTGTAATTATTCAATCATTCAATAAATTATCAAGGTGAATACAAAGTTTATTTGATTTACTTTAATGATTGCATTTCAAAAGAATGTGTGATTAACCATAATCATTCAATTGTTCAAATGAATTACCAGGGTAAGTACAAAGAGTAATTCGATTCAATTTAACATTTGTGTTTCAAGAGAACATGTGATAACAATAATCATTCAATCATTAAAATAAATTACCAGGGTAAGAACAAAATTTAATTCGATTCACTTTAATAATTGTATTTCAAGAGAATGTATAATTAACCGTAATAATTTAATTATTCAAATAAATTACCAGGGTAAGTACAAAGTTTAAATCGATTCGCTTTAACGATTGTGTTTTAAAACATTGATTAACCATAATCATTCAATTGTTCAATAAATTACCAAGGTGAGTACAAAGTTTAATTCATTTTGCCTTAACGACTGTGTTTCAAGCCCTATAAAAAAAGTTTGTCTGCTTTTGTTTAGCTTTTGTTGATATTGTTTAAAAAAAGTTCAGAATGAAGTCATTATAGTATAAAAACAAAATTTTCAATTATAAAAATATGTACGATTTTTGTCCTGCCATTACTATGATAATGACTCTGTTCTGAACATTTTTTAAACAATACCGACAAAAGCTAAACAAAAACAAAACAAAAACAGAAGAAACTTTTTTTATAGAGAAGAGACATAACCATTCAATTGTTCAATAAATTACCAGGGTAAGTACAAAGTTTAATATGATTCACCTTAACGATTGTGTTTCAAGAGAACATGTGATTAACTGTGATCATTTAATTGTTTAAATAAATTACCAGAGTGGATATGAAGTTAAATTCAATTTGCTTTAATAATTGTGTTTCAAGACATTAATTGACTGTAATTGCTCAATTGTTTGAATAAATTACCAGAGTGAGTACAAAATTTAATTTGATTCACTTTAATGATTGTATTTCAAAAGAACATGTGATTAACCATAATTATCTAATCATTCAAATAAATTACCAGGGCAAGTGTGAAGTTTAATTCGATTCCTTTAACGATTGTATTTCAAGACATTGATTAATCGTAATCATTCAGTCGTTTAACAATTGTGCTTCAAGAGAATGTGTAATTAACTGTAATCATTTAAACGTTCAAATAAATTACCAGTATAAGTATGAAGTTTAATTCGATTCGCTCCAACGACTGTGTTACAAGACATTGATTAACCGTAATCATTCAATTGTTCAATAAATTACCAAGACGAGTATTAAGTTTAATTCTATTCACCTTAACAATTATGTTTCAAGAGAACGTGTGATTAACTGTAATAATAATTCTAATGCAATAAACTCAACTACGACTACACATCGAATAGCAAGTTCTGTAATAGAAATTTTTACTTCGAATTATAGTATACTACTAAAGTAAGATTTACATGACTATAATAGTACAATTATGGAGGTAAGTGACAACTTAAAGAATTAGACAAATATGGAAATAAGGAGACACAGGAAAAATTAATCGTTACAATACCATATGCATACCCCTTATTCCTGTTTTTTCATATCTGCCCAATTTTCTATCATTCATTACATTAATATATACTTTCTTCTTTTCTCTAAAACCACCTGAATTTGTTTTTTCAGCAGATTTCCAATAATGTCCAAACCTATTCTGACAGCAAAATTCATCACAAAGAACACCTTTTTCTGTGTGTATTCTACATGCTATATTTAACTTTGCAGTGATATAAAACATTTCTCTTTTACTACAGTTAGGCGTAAGAACATTCAGCACGTTCATTTTTATACTAGGGAACCATCGAATTACTTGTTCTAACAGGAACGTCACTTTTAAATCAACGAGCTTCATCAGATGGTCAAGATCTTGGGAAAACCTTTCAACTAGAATGTATATCTTTAATAGGTCTTTTCTTTCTTCTTTGTTCATGTTACTTCACTCACCAATCTTCTTTTCCATAGACTTTCTCCTAACAACAAATTGACCAACATCACATTCAAACTCAACCTTCAGATACTTTTTATCAGCCACGTCTATTGTTTTTACAAACCTTAAATCCTCGATCTTATCATCCAATATGTACTATTATTCCTTTTTTCTTTCTGCTTATTCTTTTTATTAACCTTCCTTTTACTTTTAGGTATATCCACATCATGTTCTCAATATTCATGCTTTAATTGATTCAGGCAAGATGTCCTTTACATTGATATACATAGTACAGCCAAGGCCTAAGACAACATTGTTCACCTTGCACTACCTTCAAGCATTTTATGACTTCAGCTACCATTCCAATGACTTTTTCAACTAACAACATTAATTGTTCTCTATTCTCCATTTTCTTTTGATCTTACCACTTTGATATGTACAACTTTTCCTTTACTTCTCTTGACACTTTTATTTATTTACTACTTTTTACTATTAACATCCTTTGATCTTTTATTTTTTATTTTTATTTATTTTTTTTTGACTTTGATTTTGATCACTCGAAACCTTTGATTGCATAAATTTCCAAGGTTTACAACACACCTAATTCACTTAACTAACATCTCAATAAGTGAGTTGGTCTCTTACTAGGCCCTTGCTTCACAAATTATAGCAAGTAGAACCTTTGTCTACCCAGGTTCTTATGTCACAGAGTTACCCAAACTACTGTGTATTCATAGGTTTACTATCAATTTTCACTTGTTTGGCTAATATATATAAGATGACCAGGATATCATATCAGATACTACCACCAATTATGTATTCACACAGACAACAGTTTATTCACTAAGTGTCAAGGTAATTACCAGAATGAAGCTAGGCACTTTTCCATATGGGATCAATACCTAATATTAATTACTAATATATATTTGTATCATTGATTATTAAATACTTTCTAATCAATCATGCAATCACTATTTTAACCTTTTAATTAATTTTATGCAAACCTGAATCATGCCAATCATGCAATTCTCGAACCTGGCACTACGAAATCCTGGGCATCAAATTTAACCATAATAATATTATGTTGATACAAAATATACCCACTATGTCAGAGGCTTGTAAAAAGAAATAGAACATCTAAAAACATAATTTACAATTTTTTAAAAGTAAGTTAAATGTTTTTTATATATTTAGTTTTATAGTATAGTCTTCTTAGGGGCAGTTTTTGCCTTTTGAGGCAGGTCTAGGATCCGACTGTTCCCTCCCTATCATTATTGAGGGCACGATCATTGAATTATAATTGTCTTATTAGCGAGAAGAGGAAGACTTAATGAGCTTCCTGTTTAATGCTGAGCTATAAGATGAGAAATAATTTAAATGTATCCACCTCAAAATATTTTTATTTAACAATAAAATATTATATACTATATTGTCTTATGAGATATTTTTGAATATATATTCTTTAAGATAAAATTCAATCAAACCCTGCTAGTCTACCAAAGAAAAGACTCATGAATATTTTAATTAATCAAATTATGCTTTCTTTTTCCACTTTTTTTTCTTCTAATTCTTCTACTCAGTAATAAGTAGATAATAATGGCAAGGTTAAATTTATATTGAGCCAGTGGCAAAGACAAGAGATAGATTTCCATTCCTATTTTCTTATTTATCATAATCTTATATTTACATTACTGATTTTATCTATTATTTAGATTTTATAGATTTGTTTTTATTTTATAATAAAAATAAAACTTATAATT